TACCTCCCCGCTGAGCACAGACCAGCTTCTATGGTGGCAGGAGCTTTCCTGGAAGAACCTGTGAGGAGTGGCCATGCGCTTTCCCATGGAACAACAAAGAGCAAGGGAGAAACAAGAAGCCTGGCAGCAACCTCCACAGCGCGTCTTGGTATTTCGGTAGCCATATTTCTCCCTCCAAAGTTCCATAATAATGGTTAACTGTGACTGGCTGCATTCTAACAAATGCCCCTGAGTGAATGGAAAGAAGCTGTTTCTATTAGTAAAGGGTTGTGGTGTGACTGTAACTAATGTTATCATGGGAATTTGTGGGACTTTAATCAATCTTGTTATGATTAGACATATGCCACATATCTGTCCCCTATTGTTTTGTTGTTGGTGTGGTGGTTTTTTCTTTTTCTTTTTTTTTTTTTTTGATTTTGTGTTTTCTTTGTTTGTTTTTGTCAAAAATCTTTCTCTCCCCCTGACCCTTTGCTGAGAACTTGCCTTGCGTGGGCTGAGCTCCTGCTCCTCTCAAGGGCCTCCTTAGATGACCTTTTCCTTCTGGTTGTGATAAGCTCTCCTTTCCTTCTTTCCTGAGACTGAAATGTGGTAACAACCCCAATGCTGCTGGCCCAGGGTGTTGCATTGTACCCTCATATTTGCCTTTCCTACTACTTTGTAAACAAATCTTTTGTAAATAAGCCTTCTAAGAATTACCCTAATTTGAATGTGCTCCCTGTTTTCTGTTGGGACTCAGAGATAAACCCCTCTTACCCATCTGTACTGTCCAATGTGGGAGTCACTAGCCACGTGTGGTGTTGAGCACTGAAACGTGGCTAGTCCCAACAAAGAAGTGCTGGAAGGCCCTAACCAGTTTGGCTCAATGGATAGAGCATCAGCAGGTGGACTGAAGGGTCCCAGGTTCAATCTGAGTAAAGGGCATGTACCTTGGTTGCTGGCTCGATCCCTGGTGGCGGGTGTGCAGGAGGCAGCTGATTGATGTTTCTCTCTCGTTGATGTTTCTAACTCTATTCCTCTCCCTTCCTCTCTGTAAAAATCAATAAGATATATTTAAAAGAAGAGCTAGAAACGTGATGTTGAAGGCTTGGTATGAAAAGAAAGAACGTAAATGACGTCAATTATTTTTATATTGACTACATATAAAAATCACACTTTTAGGTGTAGTAGATATATTACTAAATTTAATTTCACCTGCTTCTCTTTACCTTTTTAAAGGTGGGTTAGATATAATGTATCTATATGTAAAGATAGCTGCCTCCTGCACGCCCCCTACTGGGGATGGAGCTGGAAACACAGGCATGTTCCCTGACCGAGAATCTACCATGACCTCCTGGTTCACATAGGTCTATGCTCAACCACTGAGCCACACCCACTGGGCTGTGGCTCATATTTATTTCTAACTAGAGTCCCGGTGCATGAAATTCATGCATGGGAGGGGGGTCCCCCTCAGCCCAGCCTGCACCCTCTCCAATCCAGGACCCCTTGCGGGATGTCTGACTGCCGGTTTAGGCCCGATCCCAGGGACATCCCTCTCACAATCCTGGACTGCTGGCTCCTAATCGCTCACCTGCCTGCCTTCCTGATCGCCCCTCACTGCCTCTGCATGCCAGTCTGGTCACTCCTAACTGCCCCCCCCCCACCCCGCTGGCTTGGTCACCCCTTACTGCCA